CACACACACACACACACACACACACACACACACACGCCCTCTCTACAAACATTTAGTTAGGAGACAATCATTATTCTACATATACTCATTCAGATATGAAAGTGGTTCTACTAGTTAGCACCCTGTGTGCAAATGTGTCTGAAAAGACAGATGGGTGACTGACAGGCCTGTTCATAAAGAATACAAAAGAAAAGTTATCAATTTTTTGGCAATTTTCATAAAAAAATTAAAGCTATAAGGGAATTTGAAGGTCTTCTCACCCATACTTATTTCATGGATAAGGAAACTAATTAGGGCCAAGACAGGGGTAAGTATTTTGTCTAATGTTGTAACAATGATAAAACTGGAACTAGAATTCAGATTGACAGACTTCTGGTCTAAAGTATTTTCATGAAAGGATATGCTATGTGCTGTCAGTGTTACTGCTATAACAAGAGTTAACTCAGGAGAACTAAAATAAAAATTTGAAAATCACTTATAATGATCCCTCCCATCTAGGGTGGAGGGAACAGGAAACTATAGCACAGGATGGGTAGGGCTCCTCAACAGGAAAAGATCTAGAGGGAAAAAAAAGATGACAAATAAAAAAAAGAGAAAATAGAACAGAAAGGTTTTTTTTCTCTGTATTTTGTCTTAGCAACACTTCATAAACTCTAAAAGAAAGTAGAATCTTCTTAAAAATGTCTATTTTTAGAAATTCATAAAAACAAAACAGAAAATTTATAATCAAAACCATTTGAGAGTTTAAAATTTGCTTCATGTTATCTTCATAAAGAAACAAAAGTTCTTCAATGTAATGCTGTACAAATTATTTGATTTTACAAAGGAATGCCAAGTCTCTTGACTGTATGTTCATTTTGATTTCAGATTTTAAAATCAATGTCATGATTCATATGACATTTATAGCTTTCCAAATAGGACTGAACTTGGGGATTTTCCTGAGGATACTGAAATAAATATTTGTCGTTCTCTCTTCCTAAGCAAAGCATCTCAGAGAAGGAAAACTGGTTTACATTAGTTTTCCACACTTTTAGAAAAGGGCAGGACCTGATGCCGTTTAAATATTAGCAAGGCAAAAATAATTGTCTGTCTAAATGTTTTCTTTTCCCAGTTCGCTGGATTCAAGAATCTTTCAGAGTAGAACATGCAGACACAAAGTTTGATAGCTGCATACCTTGGTATTTTCCCAGTTGTAGAAGTGTAACAATAAACGATTACTATAGAATTTATGTAAGTCAGAAAAGCACAAGTTTTCTGTTTTCATATGTCAAAATCTTACTGCTATTACCCTTTAAGCTCCTGAGCTTTGAAACTTACAGGTAATTTTTGATTCCTTCTTATTCTTTGTTCACCGCCTGCCTTCTCTCCACATCTACTCACTCTGGTCGATTTTTCTTTTCCAAAAGTCTCTTATATTTGTTTCTTTCTTGGCAATGTGGGGTAGTGTGGAAAATAACTGTGTTTGAAATCAGGGCAAGTGAGTTTGAATCTCACCTCTGCTATCTGTGTGACCTTGAATAAGTGACAACTCTTTTGGGATTCATTTTCCCCCATCTGTGAAATGATAGAGTTGAATTGATCTTTAAAATCCCTTCTAACTCTAAAATCCCATGTCCTTTTTTCCAAAACCTACTGCTTTGGTTGTTATATTCATGACCTCTTAGCTGAATGACCACAATAGCTTCCTTTCCTGATTGGTCTACTCATCTGAAGTTCCTAGTCCAACTTATTCTATACGCCAGAAAAATCTTCCTTAAACACTGTTTCCAGTGTCACTTTTCTAACCCTCTTCTTGCTGACACACAAAATACCATGCCTACCTTGTCAAAATCACATTCTCAAGACTACCATTCATGGCCCTTCTATTAAGTCCTTCTGATATTTCCAATTAAGTTAAACTCTGATGCCTTCTGCAGCACTTGCTATTTCTTTTATGGATGCCTTTCCCATAATATTCCTATTACCTAAAGCTTCTTTCCCTCTCTTTTCCAATAACAAATATTTATTAAACACCTATTGTTTGTAGAACACTGTTCTCAGCACTGAGGGATGGTGATATAAAGTTTATATAAGATGTACTTTCTGGCCTCAACAAAACCAAAGTCTGATACAGGGACGGGATACTAACAGACATCCGTAATGCCCAATATTACATGATAAGTGAATTAGAGAGTTACAAAATAAATTGTTCTTTGCTAATCCTTCCCCTTCTTCAAAGCCCAGCTCAAAATTCACCATCCTGGAAAATCTTTCTATATTACCACCAATATAGTTTGAAAATTCCCTTTTTCTTTGTCCTATTAAAAATGTTAATTGTTGTTGTTGAATATTGTTGTTGAATACATTGTTTTCATTGTTGAATACAATTTGTTATTCAATTTGTACCAGGAGTTTGCTCTTCTGGTCTAGTTTGTGATTACTCATTGGTTATTTCATATGTGCATATTTTGCTTCTTCAAATTATGCTATAAATCCTTGAATATCAGCCATTGTATATATTTCCTACATAGCTTTCCTTTTGTCTCTAGTATAATATTATGCATACAGGATGAATATTCCATTGAACATCTGGGATGTCATTATCATAAAGAAAAATATTTTATATTAGTAAAGGCCTCACAAATTATCAGATCAATCTTCTCCTGGAATTTGGAATCTCCTGGGATTTTTTTTCTCATCTAACATAATTTTATTTTTTTAAAAATAAATATAGAACATTTAGCATGTGAAGGTGGGCTCACCATGGAGTTGGTTCTCCATGTCATAGCTGGGAAGAGTTCTCTTCTTCTTAGAGGGGATGGATGATTCAGGCATTCAGATCATATCTCTTCCCCGCCTCCCTCCCAATTCCTGAGCCCCAGGAACTCTGGTCATGACAGGTTGGACCTACAGGCAAGCCAGGATGGGGGTCCTCTTTCCAGTCCTTCCTGTTCTGGGCTCTGCTTACATGCAGGTGAAGGAATCCCCTGGTTTCAACCCAGGTCCCTGATTTCACCCCAGTCAGAACTGAATTTCCCATATTATTTCTCCTAGAACACTTCGGTCCAGAATAAATAAAAGTGTTTACTAGGTCCGGTCAAGTTAAGCATCTCTAGGGAATTTACACAAAATCATATAAGCTCAAGAGATGGAAGGGCCCTCTGAGCATGTCTAGTCCTATTCTTCACAAGATTTAAATGTATCAGCTCCAAATGATAGTTACTCTACCTTTATCTATCACTTTAGCATCATACCTTTTTAAAAAGAACATGTCTTTCCTTTTAATGTTTTCTATTCCAAAAATGATTTAACTCTGAAGTAAATTCAGAATCTTGTGGTTTAAGCACAGAGATAAAATTTCATTTCCATCATTTATAACAAAGGCTTTCCTTTACCTGGCTAAGAATTTTCATTCCTGAGTGCAACAGCTTCTTTGCAGCTTTGTAATAAATGGTTTCCGGTTTATTGTAAATCATGGCATTGCTACACATCAGTTTGAAATTATCCTGTAGAGAGAAGTTTAAGGAGGAAAATGCACAAAGAATATTTTTAAATTATACAATCTGCTCAAACTGCAACTCATTTAAAAACACATTGCAATCCCTTCTCCTTTGCACCATGAAAAAATAATCTCATCTCTCTCTGTTCACTAATGGTAATCTCACATAGGCGATTAAAGTGTTGAAGTATTGACTGACAAATGAAAAGAGATGCAAATTTGAAAAGTAATTTAAACATGCTACAACATTCTTTTTTTCACAGAGGAATAACCACATGTAAAATCTTGAACTACATTTTTAGGAATCAAATGTCAAGAAACAGATTCCTTCAAAGATTCCTTCCACTGCCCACTAAATGGTCTTAAGAGGTCAAAAGAGAATTTTTTTTTTGCTTATAAGAAACATCTTTGTTGAAAGGAAATTAAATATGCTATTTTGGAAAATGATTTTTCAACACAGACAATGAAGAACTTAATGTACATAATTTGATTGCTATATTAGAAAACCTAGTCAGAACCTGGAGGAGAAAACCAAAATATTATAACATTCTTTACCACAACTATAAGATAGTTATAAGATTAATATTTTAATTTAATTTTCATATCTGGTTCTTTTAATTTTGGATATCACTGTGAGCAAAATATTGGTGGAATATTACAAAAAACTTGTCAATGTAAAATAAACCATATAATCATGATAAGTTAACACAGGTAACATTACTACCTAGATTATTTATAATTTTTAAATTTCTGTTTCCAATGTACATATACTGGAGAACTCCCTGCATTCTTGCATAGTCAGGTAAATTTCACTTGTGTGAATGTGAAGAAAATCATGTCAAGCTATAACTAAACTATCCCAAACACTTTGAGAGTTGATGATAACATAGAACAGATGAAAGCTATGAACAGTTAAGAAGAATTACAGTTCCACTTTAAACCACAGTGAAAGCTGGAAATAAGACAGGAGTCTCAACACTGAGTGCTATATTGAAACCCCAAAAAAAGTACATGTGGCATTCTCAAAATCTACTCAAGTTTGAAATGGATACATGTTGCAGTTAGTTCTGGATCCTTCTTGAAAGAGTCTGCCATTTCACTACAGATAGCAGTAAGCTTTAAAAAAACATCTATGTATGTATGCATATACATGCACATAATACAGCTTAAATTTCATTAGGCTTTAATGGTTTAAAACAGCAGAAAGACTTCTGAGACTGAGACACACACACACACGGAGGAGGAGATAAAGGGCAAGCAGTGAAGGGATTTGGGGAAAACTGAATCATATGCAGACAAAAATCGACTATGGATTTATATGGTATGTATAAATTTTATTAGCATCAAAGTACTCAGCTAGATTATAGGTTTTTTTGTTTGTTTGTTTGTTAGGCAATGGGGTTACATGACTTGCCCAGAGTCTAGATTATAGGTTTAACAAAGTATAATGATCTCCGCGTCTAAGGTGTCTAGATGGTACAATGGATAGAATTTACAGGCCTGGAGTTAGAAGACCCTAGTTCAAATTCAGACTCAAACACATGCTAGCTGTGTGACCCTGGTTTAAATGACTTAACCTCTGCCTGCTTAAGTTTTCTCAACTATTAAATGGGGATAACAATAGCACTTTCCTTACAGGGCTGTTGTGAGGATCAAATGATACATATGTGGTGCTTCTAAAGTGCCTGGCACACAGTAGGTTCTATTTCCTTCCTAACTTTCTATAGCATATCTGAATCAGTCACAGAATAAAAACACAAGCATACTGTATCTCATGTCTCTAAGACTGGCAAAGTCAACAAAAGAGGAAAATAACAAATATTGGAGGGGCTATGGAAAAACAGGTACACCAGAATACTGATGATGGAGCTGTGTGAGCTGATCTAGCCTTTATATAAAGCAATTTGGAATTGTGCCTAGAAAAGTTATCAAACTGTATATGCCCTCTGACCCAATGATACCACTACTAGATCTATACCCCAGAGAAATCAAAAGAGGAAAAGCACCTATATGTACAAATATGTATGTGTATATGTATATACATATATACATATACACACATACACATACACACACATGCTTTTTATCATGGTAGCTGAAGATCAGAAACAAAGAGTGTGTCCTATTGGGGAACAGCTAAACAAATTGAGATATATAAATGCAATGGAATATTACCATACCATAAGAAATGATAAAGTGGTCAATTTTAGAAAAAACTCTTCTACCCCATTTGGGATGAATTGATACATAGTGAAGTGAGCAGAAATACAATTTATACCATGATAACATTAAAAAGTAAAACAACTTTGAAAGATTTTAGAGCTCTGATCAATGCAATGATAAGCCACAAGTCCAAAAGAATGAAGATGAATCATCTTCTCAACTTCTGATGAGCTTAGGAATCAAACGTGACTGAACAACAACAACAAATGTGGGAATTTGTTTTGGTAGACTAAGAAGCTATGTATTAAGGGTTTTAATTTTAGGTTTGTTTTATTTGCTGAAGGGAGAGAAGGTTAGTGGGAGGAACAGATTAATAAAAAATGCTAGTTAATTTAAAAATTTAAAAATTAAAAAGAAGTTGCATTTTGTTTTTCTTTCCTCCTAACCAAATGTACAGCACAAGGGTCACTAAAAACAAGATTATAATACACAAGATACTCCCTGAATGGCTGAATGGATATAATCACCCTTTACCCTGAGAAATGTGATAAATACGCTCATCTGCCAAAGGGCTTTTTGCTGCAGAAATCTATAATGAACTATTGTATATCAGTATTTAGATCTTTACGCTTAACTGACTTTTTTGTATATACATTCATTGAATTCCACAGAATGCTGAGTTTTGAAAGCAGCTCAAGACACTACTTTCATTTCTGTTGTATGATAAATCTTAACCTTGTTTGCCCAAAGATGTTTGAAGGAAATAGTTTTACGTATTGGAATTTCTTTCTTTCTTTTTCTGGTGAGGCAATTGGGTTAAATGACTTGCCCAGGGTCACACAGCTAGTATCAAGTGTCTGAGGCTGAATTTGAACTCAGGTCCTTCTGACTCCAGGGGCAGTGCTCTATCCACTGCTCCACCTAGCTGCCCCTGTATTGGAATTTCTTAAATAATATAATGAAAACCAGGATAAATTTTTTCTATTAAAAATTGAAAGTCTGAAATGTTTAACCAGGTGATTATAGCCTATTTTGTCATGGAAATTCTTCTTGTTTATTTGAACATGAATGCAATTCAGTAACCTGAATATTATTATCAGCTGCTCATACCTTCTCTGCTCCAAAGATTACTTTGTATTTATTTTGTATTAGATTGTGAGCTCCTCAAGGGCAGAAGCAGTTTTGCCTTTCCTTGAATCCCCAACACTTAGCACAGAGGCTAGTGCATAGTGTTTAATGTTTACTGACCGACTCCATATACTTATATTCGGGCATGTAGTCTTTCCCAAGAGAATGCAAGCTCCTTGGGGACAGGCAGTGTTATATTTTTATCTTTGTATCCCCAACACCTAGCCAGGTACACAGCAGGTGCTGAGTGCTTACAAATTGACTGTATAATACACTGATGTTGAAATTAGAAATTAAATGCTGATAATCCACATAAATCTTAGAATTAGTTAAATGTCACTTCTTTGTGAAGCAAGCAAGATGATTTTAAGGAAGAGAACATAGATTTGTATGACTGATACAGTATAACTTGGCAACTTAAATCAAGTAACTGCTGGTTATCAGGTAAACTATTATTTAGCACATTTCCCAGGGTAGATGGTGATTCTACCCATTCAAGCAGTGGATCTCAAAACACACACTGGAAGTTCCTTGGGTGCTATAATCTTGCTTTCTCCTCAACTTACCCTTCCACTGTACATATGACTAGAAGAAAAGAAATGGGACACAATTCTTAAGGAATAAAGGTGAGATGTACAGATAAGTTTTTGTTCTATAACTACTTAGGATGTTATTTAAAAATTATTTCTAAAATATTAAAGAGTAAAAATGATGGAATCACTCCACTATTTCAATCGGTAAATATTTGTATAGGGCCTATACGAAAGAAGTTTAAAGAGATGTGGTTCTTCCTCTCTAGAAGATGATAATATCAAAAGAATACATATCTTCCTTCCTTCTCTAGATACTATGATTATCTAAAAGTGAAATCAACTTCAGCTATAACTATTAATATATATCATCTTCATAGCTTTCTGTTTACTTATAAGGCTTTCCCCTAAAAATGGGGGGTAGGGAGGAGAGGAAAGGTATTTGACAAAGATAAAGTGGAATTTAGAGAGCAATAAGAAAGAATGTAATCAAGTTACTTCCTTATACAATATTTGTGGTCAAACCAATTTATTTTCTGTTTACTTACGGGAACATGCATATTTTCTTGAATGGTCATAAAAGGAAAAGAATACTGGTTCTAATTACATTTCCATCTGAACTACAATTTTATTTGTTTTGATCTGAAATTAAAATTTTAATATTCCTTTTTCAAAGATTGGGAGACAACATTAAAAAAAAATTTATAAAAGTCATGCAAAATTTTTGTCTAAACAAGCTACCATATGGGGTATTTTATCTGTTTTTAAAAAAAAAAACTTGTAAGAGCTTGTAAGAGTTTTCTGAGGGAGAAAATATGGTCTTGAAAATTTAAAAAAAAATGGTCTTTGTACAATAAAAGGTCAATAGGAAATATTCTGAATACCAGACGTGCAGATTTCTACCAAGCTTCAGTGTTTAGAAAATCCAATATTGGACTGAATAAAGATGTCAGAGTTTCATTTTGTGTCACATAGGTTAGTCTCCTTCCCCACAGAAAATACAAATAAATTATAACTACCTTCAATTCTTCTATGGATTGGTAGTCATTGTTCTTGATCTTTTCTTTCATAGTACTAAAATCCATTGGGTGTTTAATGATCATAGAGTAGCCAGGAGCAATAAAATCAGTCACAGGAAATGAAAAGAAAGCACTTGGGTCCTTTCTGTGAAGATATGAAAGAGGCAATCTTATTTTTCATTTCTACTGCAAAAGGTTCTACTGGTCCAGCAGCTGAAACTAGAGAAAATGTTCTCCCTAGCTGAAAGAAATCATAGCAAGGCAAGAACTGTTTTTCACTTAAAATTGAAGTAAGGGTGACACAGGACTAGTAAATTCATTGCTTAATGGCAGTATTCCAATGTTTTACCAACAAGTTTCATTACAATAGAGAGCCCTTTTCTCTTAAGTATGCAGACTACTTAATTTATTATCCCTCTACTTGGGAAAAAAGCAAAATAAAGGAAATAAACGAGACTGGTCACCCAGCTGATGACCAATGTATAGTATTCAAGGATGGACAAAAGAGCAGAGGTAATAAATATAATAAACAATAATACATAACTATTCATTTCCCTGAAGGAGTAATCTACCATATGATAAGGCCACTTCTACTAGATTCATCTGTAAAAATCAGTATATAGCCAGGAACGTAGTCTATGTAATACAAAGTAACAAATTTAGTATAAAAATGAATATTATCCTCTTCAACATAGTCAATGTGGATTACTACACATTTTTTCCAGTGATGTTTTCATGGCTTCAGCCATTTTTAGAGTTCTCTTTAGAACCAGTTTATGAATCATACAAGAAAACAAATCTCATCACTTTAGCATCATATTTCATTTGTGATCAAAAGATGAAGTTTTTACCACTGAGATTCAAAACAATGTGCTATATATAGACTCTGAAGGGAGTTCTAAAAAGAGAAAATTTCTAAGCATTTTTTAAACAATGGTATTAGGACTTTGAAAGAGACAACACTTTTCAATGTATAAATTTAGTTATGTTTGTTAAAACTAAGTTATCTGTCCATAGTATGCCATTTTTCTACTCTTTGGAGAAAGAAAACGCTTTATGCAGTAATAAAAGATATTGATTTTATTTAGTTTGTTATTATATAGTAGGTGAGAAAGTGTCAGACCAATATACTTTTTGTATTTTGTGACAAGACTGAATTATATGTGTTGAATATTTAGTACCAGGAACTTTCTCTGGGGGAATTTCTTTGTGATGGGCATTGTGGTTCATATATGACAACCACACAGAAAAGGTAGATATTAGGTTAATTTAAAATTCATGCTTTAACCTAAATTTGACTATTATCCTTTTGCAAATGGTCAACATAACTACAAAATATAATTCTGGAAGAGATAATCAAACCAAATTTTTTGAGCATAAATTCTGAATAAAGCTATTGTTGTTTTCTTTAAACATAACAGGAATCAGTATTTGGATTAAAAATAAAAAAGTTTGGGGTTTATTCAATTCAATCTCTTAAAACAGGAGAAATTATTCCTTTTCCTACTGGGAAAGTGTTGAAATTATTTCATGTGGCCAACAATGAAAATGCTGACCAAGGCTAAAACCTGAGATTTAGAAAGTTCCATTTAAAAGTAGGCCCTCTATTTTATTTGTTATACAGTATTATTTACTTTTTCCAGAGTTTAGTCTGTATGCAATTCATATTCACAAAACTCTCATGATGTGCTGGCATTATAAAAACATACAGAAGGCACCTCCTCTATTAATAATAAAAGCACAAATATATGTACTATTTATTCCTGGTTTTAAGCTTTATCATTATTAAAACACTAGATCAAAGAGAAAATTGCCATTAAAAAGCATCATTTAACAACCTAGGAGTTGCCAGTTAAAACAAACCGAATGGGGACAATCTGATGACTCAGCATCTTATAGTACTTTTTATTGCCAGGCAAAATATTTATCATCCACTTTAAAATTAACTGAATTTGAACCTAGGCCACATATTGCAGGTTTTAAAAAGTGACTTCTACAAACTATCCTTTATGTTATGAATGTGCAATTTCAATGCAAAGTGTTAAAATACACCTTTACCTTTGTAATTGTCTCATCAGTTGATTCAAAGCCTCTTGAAGGGGTGTTTGTTCTACTTCTAATGCACAAAAGAAAGAGAAAAAGTTTTACAAAAGAAAATTCAGATCAGAAGGATTAAGTTATATAGTTTCATGTGATACCTTTTACCTACCAGACATTTCTTTTGGTGTCCTCATAATTTACCTGTCTTTCCTTTTTTAAAGCTTAAGAACAGAAATTTCAATCATGCTCCAAATGGTTCCACAGTTTGAAAATACAGATTAAAAATTAAAGTTAAATTGAAAAATTTCAATATAAAAGGTGATGGGAACAGAAAAGTTATTTTTTTAATTAAGAAAACCTAAGTTTTGACTAACTGAAACTGAACGATTTTCTCAGACCTTAACTCTTCAAGCAATTTTTTACTTTTTTGTACTTTGCTCATAACAGTGAATTCTTAGCTATTCCCACCTTCTTGCTTAGATAATGTACTTGTCAGAGGCTTCTCAGGGGGCAATTCTAGTCTTATAGGAGTTTGACATTGAAGTTCTTTTTCTGCCTCACTCTCAGCCCGATCCCGATCTCGTCTTTTTCGATCTTCCTAGAAAAGAAATATATATATATATTAGAAAGGTTTCAGAATCTGTACTATTAAACACACATTATTCATATTAATTTCAGAACAAAAAAGGAGATAACAAAAGTAAACTGATTTTCTTAAGAAAAATCTAAATGGGTTCTGTTGCCATCTACTGGAAAAAGGAGAGTAGAACAACAGATGTCTATAAAGAGACTTGAAGACTAGAATTCAAACAGAGGGAGTCAGACACTACTTAATTAACATAACTCCTCTTTCAGCGGCACAAGTTTTATTCATCAAGCATGCATTTTATATAACCCTGTTCCTCATAGTCAAACAAATTGCTTTTTTTAGACCATCAAAAGGAAAAGAATATTTTTCTCCCAGGCTATGTCTTATTCTAGTATTAAGAGTGGTTTTACTAGCTTAATCTTTTTGTTTTTAATAATTTTCACCACAGACATACAGTAGCAACCTCAACCAAACACCCCTCTCCCCCATATAACTGGAAGTATTCACATTAATAACAAATGGCACTGAGGTGGTACTCTAAGGTTTACAGAATGTATTATTGATTCTCACAACAATCCTGTGAGACAAGTAACTCCTAATTTTATAGATGGGGAAACTAAGGTTCAGATAGGTTACATGACTAGCCTACATGGTAACACAGCTAGTAAACATCAGAGGTGGGATGTAAATCAAGTTTTTCCTGCAAGTCCAGCATTTAATATTTCATGATGCTTCTCTTGCAATAAAAAAGGATTAATAAACTAATAGTAACTCAATGTCTAATTCTGTATCCATTTGTATCTGCATATACGCAAAGTAAAAAAAAGAAAGTTATAGTCGATATTTAGGAAATTACAAACTTAGATAAATGAGTCCAAGCTTCTCCTTGAAACAAAGATTGATACTGTATGGTTTTGAGTAATGTCTGAAGAATTAAAAGTTTGGAATGACACAAAAGGCATGGGAGAAGGGCATGGTGGATATAAGCAGGCTGTATCACATTATAAACAAGAAATTATGAAGAAAAGTTGTATAAAGGATATCATAAAAAAATACGGCCAGAAAAAAAGATGAGCTGGCTAAATAGCAAGGATAAGACAACCTGTGTACTCCACTGGCATCCAAGCAAAGTAAAGTGATTTTGAGGAAGTCACTTAGGACACTGGGTGCACACAGATAAGAGATGCTTAGGAAGGGCAGGCATGGATGGGTTGCAATCTGCATTTTTGGAAAAAGTACCCACATTAATGATTTCAACATTAATTTAAAGGGATAAAACTGGGTATAAGATAGCTCCTCAAAGTTGTGTCAATATAGAATTTCTTTCATTATTAGAGATGGAAATTTTATCAGATTATTAAAATGTGTTTCTTCTTTCGTGTGTGTGTGTGTGTGTGTGTGTGCGTGTGTGTGTGTGTGTATCCTTTGATCATTTCTCCATTAGAGAATGACTTTTAATCTTATAAATTTCTATCAGTTTCCTACAGTTGGAACCGGAAGTAGGAATCCAGATGTCAGGTTTTTCCTCAGTCATTATCATTAAAGTAGCTTTTTAATTTGCTTTTAATTTTTAGATATAATCAAACCTATCTGCATTGACAGAGCAATTTAATATTAACGAAGTACCTTACATACCTAATCTCATTAGATCCTCAATATAACCTGGGAAGGTAGGCACTATACATATTTGAACCCCTATTTTAAAGCTGAGGAAATATAACTCAAATAGGAAAAGTGACTTGTCAGTGGTCACATAGCTCATAAATGCCAGAGAGAAAATGAGAACTTTGTCTCCTGATTCCAAGTCCAGTGTTCTCTTCAATACTACCATGTTACTTCCCAATTTCCCACTAATTTCTTATATTTGTTTTACTGTTTCAAAAAATATTTCTCAAGTGATTACTTCATGCAGCATATTGAAGATAAGAACAAAAGTCTCTGTCTTTAAGAAGCTTAGGTTCTACTGGGAGGATTCAACACATACCCAGCTAAAAATAACCAAGTTTTGAAAGATCAAAACGTTCTGCTAATATTTCAGAAAGGAGAACACTAACAGTGGCAGGGTGGGGGAGGATGGGGGCAGAGGCAGTAAGAATCAGAGAATACAGATCACGTATAAACATTAACTGTTGGTACTCTAAATGTGAGATCCTTGTCCGTTGTCCAATGACATACTACTGGGAGAACTGAATTATATCAATCTTGACATTCTCATTACAAATGAAACCAGAAGAGGAAGTTAAAGCTAAATAGAAGGATGGCTCACTAGTTGTCCTTGGAGAAACATATACGTGAATTAGTGGAGATAAAACTGTGGTGTAAAAAGAAACATAATGTAATGAGATGCTTGGTCACTTTGCCTTAGAGTACTTATTGTGAGAAATGAAAGAGTTAAGTTTCCACATAAGTAGATAAGAAATCAGCATAGACAGGCTAACTTCTCCATGGGGGGGGGAGTGATAACATAATTCTAAGCACATAATGTTATGTTAGGGGTAGGGTATATATGGAAGATTGTAACCCAGAAGGATTAGGACCAATCTTGATCCAGAAGGGAGGAGTTAGGCAATTACTAACTATAAAGATTGCTTTGGCTTCTTTTACAGCGCGCATTTCTCTCCTTCCAAGGAAGTGCGCCCGCTTCTCACGAGAATTGAAATGACGCTCTTCTACCTCTTTAATAAAAAGTCTTTGAGATACCAGTCTTCAGAACTGAGTCTGGGGTCATCTTTATAACACTTATGATGAAGCATCTGCAAACAGAACATCATGAAAAAAACTGCTCCTTATGTGTTAACTTATATTGAAAAGGATGAGGAGGTAGAGAAATTCTATAAAGAACACGAAAAGCAAATTAAATTAACATAACTTTAATACTTGATTCCTTCAATGCAAAGGTGAGCAGATGAGAGGACAGTGAGAAATATCATGGAAATCAAAGTTGGCAATAAGAAATTAGAGAAGCTAAGGCTCATAGGTTATACTAGCACAGTACCTGGAACACAGAAGGCACTTAATAAATACGTGTAGATTCAACTATGTATAATCAGACCATTAACGTGTTAGAGCAAATAATAATATTAGCCAACATTTACATAACACTTTAAGATTTGCAAAGTACTTGACATAGATTATGTTTTTTTAAAGCACACAGACCTTTTTTTTCAGTTTTAAATTATTTCCCTCCCCCACCCAATGAGAAGGCAAGAAGAACGAAACCCGTCACAAATACATATAGTCAAGTAAAACAAATTTCTGCATCCCTCCCGCCAAAAGAAAAAAATGGAAAAAAAAAGAAAAGAAAACAAAAACACAACCAAACGACCCAGAGAGAGAAAAAATACACTTTAATTTCTACTTTGAGTCCATTACTTCTTTATCTGGAGATGGACAGCATGTTTCATCTCGAGTCCTTTGGAATTGTGGTGGGTTGTTGTATTGATGTGAACTATTAAGTCTTTCAAAATTGATTATCTTTTTAAAAAAATTAATTTGTTTTTAGTTTTCAACATTCACTTTTATAAGATTTTGAGTTCCCTTCCCTTTCCCCCTCCCCAAGATGCATGCAATTCGATACAGGCTATACATGTACAATGATATTAAACATATTTCCACATTAGTCAAGTTGTGAAAGAATAATCAGAACAATTCTGCCTGTTCATCATTTCTTATGGAACAAGAGTATTCCATTACATTCATACACCACAACTTGCTCAGCCATTCCTCAGTTGATGGGCATCCCCTCAATTTCCAATTCTTTGCAACCATAAAAAGAGCTGCTATAAATATTTTTGCACGTGGGTCCTTTTTTATGATCTCTTTGGGATACAGACCTAATAGTGGTATTGCTGGATCAAAAGGTATGCAGTTTTAATAGCCCTCTGGGCATAGTTCCAAATTGTTCTCCAGAATGTTTGGATCAGCTCACAACTCCACCAACAATGCATTAGTATTCCAATTTTCCCATATCTTCTCCAACATTTATCATTTTCCTGTTTTGTCATGTTAGCCAATCTAATAGCTGTGATGTGGTACCTCAGAGTTGTTTTGATTTGCATTTCTCTAATCAATACTGATTTTTCATATGCCTATAGACAGCTTTAATTTCTTCATCTGAAAACTACTTGTTCATATCCTTCGACCATTTATCAATTGGGGAATGACTTGTATTCTTATAAATTTGACTCAGTTCTCTATATATTTTAGAAATGAGGTCTTTATTAGAGAGTGGCTGTAAAAACTGTTTCCCAGCTTTCTGCTTCCCTTCTAATCTTGGGTGCACTGGCTTTGTCTGTGTAAAAACATTTTTAATTTAATGTAATCAAAATTATCCATTTTTGCACAAAATTGATTATCTTTTCAATGTTACTGTTACTTTGCACATTGTTCTGGGTCTTCTCATTTCACTTTGCATCAGTTCATGTAAGTCTTCTCAGGTTTTTCTGAAAGCATCTGCTTCATCATTTCTTACAAAACAATAGTATGCCATCACAGTCATATACCATAACTTTTTCAGTCACTCCATAATTGAGGGTATTCCCTCAGTTTTGCCACCACAAAAAGACCCACTATAAATATTTTTGTACATATAGTCAAGTCCTTTTCCACTTTCATCTCTATGGGGTATGGTCTTAGTAGTGGTATTACTGAGTCAAAAGGTATGCAGCACAAGTAGGTTTTTGGGCATAGCTCCAAATTGTTTTCCAGAATGCTTGGACTAGTGCACAGCTCCCTCAACAATGCATTAGGGTACCTGTTTTCCATACCCACTCAAATGTTTGTGATTTTCCATTTTTGTCATCTTAGCCAATTTGATGGGTGTAAAGTGGTTGTTTTTAGTTGCATTTTTTAAATTATTAGTGATTTAGAGCATTTTCAAAATATAGCTAATGACAGCTCTAATTTTTCCCTCTGAAAATTGTCTCTCTTTTGATCATTATTAATTAGAAAGTGGCTCTAATTCTTATAAATTTGACTCAGTTACCCACATATTTTAGAAATGACACCTT